GAGGGGAGGGGGGTGGGGGATGGGTTAGCCTGGTGATGGGTATTAAAGAGGGCACATTCTGCGTGGAGCACTGGGTGTTATGCACAAACAAAAACTAATGATGTAATGTATGGTGATTAACCTAACAATAAAAAATTATTTAAAAAAAATGAAGATCCCAGGTTTTATAAGCTATTCAATTTTAGAAATACACAATATTCCATTCATACTTAACAAGTTTTCCTATTCTCTCTCATTAAGTTCCCATTTACAACTGATCAAGTTGACAATTACTAAATTTTGCAGCACCGGGAAGCATCCAAAATCACTTTGCCTGATTCCAAGTGAGGATGTGAAACTCAGCGTCACGTGTCCTGCCAAACAGCTGGATCCCGCAAATGGACAAGATTTCCTGATTGCTATTTCATCCTCCCCAAATTCCACATCTGCACATGGGTGTACAAGCCTTAAAACTTTTCACGCTAAGAGATTCTGAATTTCTCCCAAACAGGACCAAAACGGCTTCTGCTTGAGTTGCTATCTAGAAAGACGGCATCCGTGCTTGGTTCCGGTAACCTCCGTTTTACTCACAGGCTCCCGTGTGGCACCTTTTCTTGATCTTTCCTACTCCTTACCCAAAAAAGGCTTCTTCTGTTTCCGAGCCCAGGCGATGGCTTGGATTTTTCCTTCTGTGCCCCGAACACCAAATCCCCCTGGTACCAGCACTCCGCTGTACAAGAGAGCACAGCACATGGCGATTGGCTCTTACCACCAGCCCAAGGAGCCACATGCCCAAGACAACGGTGCTACAAAGTTGCTCCGTGCATTTTCCTACTGGGGTTATGAGGTGATTTCGAGACAGCCAGTGAGCTGAACGCAAACACTGTGAGCTTAGAAAATGTGCACTAAGTGCTTACCAGTAAAAAAAAATGGCACACACGGATTCTTTCATAATTGTCAATATATGTTAATACATATGCAACTGTTTACTTCTTGGCTTAAAGCGCTCCCTTGTGTGGGAAGGGAGCACTTTCCCTATCAACTGAGAGTGTCTGCCAAGCAGGGGCCTCAGTCATAGTTGTAGGGCTCTAGAACATGCCACTGTTCCAGAGAGCTAGAGTTTCCTGCTGATTGTTTACTATTATAAGTAACAGCTGTCAAAAACAAACTAAGAGACTCTGCTGATGGGTCCTCATCAAATGTTCCAGATGAAAATCTTTAAATAAGCCTCATCAGGAGACACAGACAGCAAACGTCCATAAAATCAGAACACATTTCCTTCAGATTCAACTATATTGATAAGCTGTATTTTTGTAAGGCTTAAATCATACAGATTTGTAGGGCACCTGGGTGGCTCAGTTGGTTAAGCGTCTGCCTTTAGCTCAGGTCATGATCGCAGGATGCTGGGATCGAGTCCTGCACTGGGCTCCTTGCTCAGTGGGGAGCCTGCTTCTCCCTCTCCCTCTGCTGCTCCCCCCTGCTCATGCTCTCTCTCTGTCTCCCACTTGCTCTCAAATAAATAAAATCTTAAAAAAAAAAAAATCACACAGATTGTAGCCTTTTCAATAATTAAACGATCTTTAGGGGCGCCTGGGTGGCTCAGTCGTTAGGCGTCTGCCTTTGGCTCAGTTCCTGATCCCAGGGTCCTGGGATCGAACCCCACATCAGGCTCCCCGCTCCGCGGGAAGCCTGCTTCTCCCTCTTGCACTCCCCCTGCTTGTGTTCCCTCTCTCGCTGTCAAATAAATGAATAAAATCTTAAAAAAAAAAAAACCTTAAAAAGCAGATTACCTACTACTAGCACATGAAAGCACACGGCTCTGCTCATTAAAGCCCCTCCCTCCCTACCCCAAGACCCCTGGAAACCAAAGGCAGAGGGTACTACTCACTGAGCACTACAGAGCTTCTGCCAGGCTTCATGATAGCGCACGGGCTCCTCCTGCAACATGCTCGGCTCCAAGTCGGTAGAATCTATGTACTGGGGATCATTTGGGCAGGGGAGAAAAGAAGCAGGCCATGACTCCAGCGCCGCATTTTCCCAATTACCAAATGATACTGTCAATGCCCTGTCTCTCTTCACTTTAAAATAAAGTTTTAGGGGCGCCTGGGTGGCTCAGCCGTTAAGCATCCGCCTTCAGCTCAGGTCATGATCCCGGGGTCCTGGGAAATGAGCCCCGCATCGGGCTCCCTGCTCAGCGGGGAGCCTGCTTCTCCCTCTGCCTCTGCCCCTCCTCCCCACGCTCATGCTTGTGCTCTCTCTCTCACTCAAATAAATAAAATCTTTAGAAAAATAGAAAAATAAAAAATAAAGTTTCAAAATTATAATCTTCATATATTTAAACTTAATAATTTTTAAATAAACTTTAAATTCTTTCTTATATTTTAAAATACAAATGTTGCCTTCAAAAATCATTTGCCTCCCCAGTCCGGCTCTCCACTGGCTCTACCCTCAGCCCGCTAGAGTGAGTCTAAAGTGCTCTCTCTGGGGGCGCCTGGGGGGTTCAGTCGTTAAGCATCTGCCTTCGGCTCAGGTCATGACCCCGGGGTCCTGGGATCGAGCCCCACATCTGGACTCCCTGCTCAGCGGGGAGCCTGCTTCTCCCTCTCCTTCTGCCCCTCCCCCTGCCTGTGCTCGTGCTGACAAGTAAACAAATGAAATCTTTAAAAATAAAGTAAGGTGGAAAAAATAAATAAATAAAGCGTTCTCTCTGTTCAGAATGCATTTTTCCCCAGCCCACCACCTAGACTGCTTTCCATCTTCCACCTTTACTGAAGTATAACTTACAGACAATAAAATCCAAGCATTTTAAGTGTACACTCTGATGAGTTTTGTCAAACATACACACAAAGGCGTCACGACCACCTCAATCAAAGATAAAGAAAATGACTGTCACCCCAGAAAGTTCCCTCTGCCCTCCCCCCGCAAACAACCTCCTCTCCACCTCCTGCCCCAGACACCCCTGGCTCTGCTTTCTATCACCACAGACATTTCTTTTAGAACTTAATGGAAAATAAAAACACACACCACGCGGCCTTCTGTGTCTCTTGGCTCAGTACGTTTCTGGGATGCATCCCTGTTGTTGTGCGTGTCACGAGTTTATTCCTTCTTATCCCTGAGCTGTTCCCCACTGTGGAAATACACCACAACGTACACACCAACTCACGCCGGACATTTGGATCGGTTCCAGATTCCGGCTATGAAAATAATAGTCCCTCTTGTATAAAAAATACTTTTTGTGGACATGTGTATCAGGGAGTGGAAGTGCTGGGTCCCGGAGTAAGTGTACGTTTCCCTTTGTAGGAAAGCGCCAGGCTGTGTTCGCAGCGGTCCTGCCATTTCACCGGCCCACCAGCAAGGCACGGAGCTCCCCGTCCTCACCAGCACGCCCGGCCTCTCTCCGCTCCTCTCCTCGGGTGTCAGTGTCTCACAGTGATTTAATGTGCATATATTTCCCTGACAACCGAAGGCACTGCCCTTGACTGCCTTGTCACATACATCAGGTGCAGCTTTCATGGAAGTGTCCACTCAGACCTTCTGCCCCCTTCTTACGTCATTCATCTTTTTCTTACTCCTTCCTGCCCAATACCCTGCAATGACCCCCCCGAACCTCAGGGAAGACCCAGCTGTGGGCCAGGCAATGGGGTTCATGACCTCACAGACCTGTCTCCAGACATCCCCCAGTTCACTTTTCCATCCACTGAGTAACAACTATTCCCCATCTCCAAGCCCTTGGATACACTCTACCTTCTGTCTGAATGCCCTTCCCTTCTGCCTCCTCCATCTTCCCAAAGTCTCCCAGAGTCCCTCTTGGAGGACGTCTGCCCTCCTCACATGTCTACCCAGACAGGTTCCCCCCCTTTTCTGTGTGCTCCCTTCACACCTTCAAGACCTCACGGACTCATTCACCTCTCGGCCCCCACCATCTACCATGAGATGCACAGACTATGTCCAAGTGCACACGACAGATGAACGAGCAAAAGTAAGTCAGGGAAGCGTAATAAGATCCCATAATTCTTAAAACATATACAGTAAGTCATTCTACAGGAACCTGTTCCCCAGTACAAAGCAAACTAAATTACAACGCTGAGAAACACCTGGAGGAGGAGGCGGCCAACCCCAACGCCAGTGGTGAGGCCAGCCAGAATCTGAGCCCTGAACCTCAAGACTCCAGCGCCTGAAGAAGACAAGCAGGGGCCAAGCCCTGACGGTCTGTCAGCTCGGCTTCTGCCCCTCACATCACGGAGCAGAACACAAGCAGGACTACTCACAGGTGCCGGCCATGCTCCAGGCACTGGCCAGGCAACCGGACGCACGTTTCAGAGAAATACCCACCTGCTCTCGGAGGTGGGTATTAGCACTTGTACTTCACAGACCCAGTAAGTGGAACAGCAATGTGCCTCTGGTCCACCAGGGCTCCCCGTTCCCCTGGTGCAATTTTACGTGGTCGCCTGATACTCAGATTCAACCATTCGCTCTTTCGCAACTACTACCCTGACCATCTCTCCCTTTCATTGTTTCCTGAAAATGTTCTACTATTCTCTCTCAAAGCCAGGAGCCAACCATGAATCCTTTCTATTCCTAAAAAGAAATGCTGAGTTCCAAGAATATAAAGCAGATATGCCTATAGCATCTATGAGAATCCAGAAACCCTCCCTGTCCACGCCTCAGCTATACACGTGCCGCCCCTCCTTACCTTGATTTCTAACTTGTGGTTGATGGCCAGTGCAGAATGCTCCAGAGCTTTAATGACAGAGGCATACGAGTCTGAAAACTTGGTGTATTTGCCCACAAGGGCTATAGAGCAGGTCTCCAGCAAGCGATCATATCTATCAAAAAAAGGCCAAGAAACCCCAAAGTATTTAGAATACAATGTACATACCACCACGAGACCAAAATTGCTTTCCAAAAAGAAGAAAAACATCTCTGGGAAGCATATAATGGGAACAGGTATGATCTGAGTCCTACATACAGAACAGAAAAGAAGAAGCAACTTTCAAATCCACGTGGCAGGCTTTGTAAAGAAAGTAGGATTTAAGAACCGGGCATGAAGAAACGTGAAGCATGAAGCATGAAGAAAGCTTCCAAATCTCACACAAAGTTTTTCTTAAAAATTAAAATCCCCAAAGAGCAAAAAAAATTAACAGACAATTCAAAGGAGTTAATGTGATGAAGGGAATAGTCAAATAAATCTTAGGACATTAACACAATAGTCTATAGTCACCAAAAATCTTCATCATAAAGTGTAATTAATAACAGAGCAAAAATGTTTGTAATATTGTATGAAAACAAGATCCCAGAGCCATATGCCATTTTTGTGGCTGCCTATAGATATACATGGAAATGCACAAAGCCTGAAAGGGAGAATGTCCAAAGGAAAACGCCTATCACAGAGCAAGGCAGGAGCGCCCCTGGCCCCGTGCAGCTATGGTGGCGGGCAGCCCGCGCTCTGAGGCTACGCCCACACCTCTGAAGCGATGCAGAGCATCACTGAACTTTCAGAGGAATGGGGACGGTTCTCAAAGCGAGGAGCTTTGGCAGCAGCAGTAACACAAAACTGGACACCCCTGCGCATCCTCTTCTGGTGGGTGGTGAGCGGCACATTCCCAAACCCAGCTCAGCTATCTGGAGGGGACCCAGGCATGCCGGCCACGGTCAGCCAGTGGGGCAGGCCTCGGATACGAGAGCTCGCCTGCGGCCACTGGACACCTACTCACACAGATTTCCTAGTCGAGGGGACTCAAGGCCACAGGTGTGTGATCTGAGCTCAGCTCTGCCAGGACTTCCTCATCCCTGGTACAGTGACCTGAGAGCCGAGAGCCTGTCTCTGCCTCTCTTACCACTGAGTCCTTTGCTAGCAGGAGCTAAGAGCACAAGCAAATTCCCGGAGACCCTCCAGAAAAGAGAAATAAGGCCCGAACTCCCAGCTCCTTATCACAAGGCAAACCTGTCTGCCATCTCTTTCCACTTCATCAGCATTTTTCGTGGCTGCCTCTCGATCGGAAGGTCAAGTCTCCGGAGAAAATAGTCCACGACTCCCTGCTCCTCTAATAACAAGGGGACTCGGTAGATGGATGAGACATCATGGACACAGATCACCTGCGTAAAAACGGGTAAAAACAAACAAAAATGAACTGGGCTGGCAGCCTCCTACTGGCTGTATCACCTTCAGAAAATAACTTCTAAATCTGAAAATGGCAAGGGCAATTTTCTAGAAAAACATACATTACCAAAACTGACTCAAGTACAGAATAAAAAATTAGAGGCTAATCTCTTATGAACATGACTGCAAAAATCCTTTAAAAAAAATAAATAAATCAGGGGCGCCTAGGTGGCTGAGTCGGTTAAGCATCGACTCTTGATTTCAGCTCAGGTCATGATCTCAGGGTCACAGGATTGAGCCCCATGTCGGGTTCTGCGCTCGCACTCAGCAGAGAGATTCTCTCCCTCTGCCCCTCCCCCACCCACCGTCACTCTCCAAAATAAAATCTTAAAAAAAAAAAAAAAAATCACAAACCAAACCATAAATGTAGCTTAAAAAAAAGAAAAAATTCATGTCCAAGTAGGATTTGTCCCAAGAACAGTGGCTGTCAAACTTGGCTGTACATTGGACTCACTTGGGTGAGCTTTTAAAAATTCACAAGCCCATAGTGCACCCCACGCCACATAAACTAGAACCTCGGGGTGGGCGGGGGAAGCAGGCATAAGTAGTTTTTCAGGCTGAATCTGAAAACCGCTGCATTAGGATATTTAACAGTGGAATTCACTACATGAACAGATTAAAAAAGGAAAAAAAAGTCGCCTCAGTGGATGAAGAGCTAATAAAAATTCAAAACCAATCCATAGTAAAAATTCTTGGTGAATTAGGACTATCAGGGAAAATGTGAAAAACATAAAGGAAAAAAAAAGCCCACAGCAAACATCATTTGGTTCTCAATATTTAATATTAATGCTTAATCTTTATAAAGTCTGAGACAAGGCAAAACTGGCCACTATCACTACATCTATTCAGTAATGTACTAGAGATATTACCCATTACAATTAAATAAGAAACATACACACACACACACACACATATATATACATATGAACTGGAAAATAAGAAACGACTGCCAAGAACTGCATAGAGTATTATTCCTTATCCACAAAAACCCTTAGAATTTACAGGTAAACAAACAGAACTAGCAGAATTTCAGCAAGGCTGCTAGGCTTGAGATCAATGAGCAGAAGTCAGCAGGGTTCCTATACATGGGTTATAGATGTAATTTCTTTTTTAAGTAGGCTCCATGCCCAGAGTGGAGCCCAACATGGGGCTTGAACTCATGACCCTGAGAACAAGACCTGAGCTGAGATCAAGAGTCAGACGCTCAACTTTTCCTAGGGGCTCCTAGGAAATGTCATTTTTAAAAATATGCCATTCATATAGTTGCAAAAATTATGAATAACTATAAATAATCCTAGAAAAAAAAACTGTACAAAGATAAAGAAATCTTAAAAAAGCACCTTTAATAAAAAAAAAACATTATAGATTACTATTGAAGGACAGTCCTTCCAATGAAAGGAGTTGGAGCAACTGGCTATCCACAGGCAAAAAGACGAATTTCAACTTTTATTAGAAAGTTGCTATCCATAAAAGTTAACTCACAATGGATCCCAGGCCTAAATATAAGACCTAAAATTATAAAACTTTTAGAAGAAAACACCAAATCTTTTTGTTAAATGGGAGTTCTTGGATAGGATACCAAAAGCACAACCTATAAAGAGAAAAATGGATAAACTGGAGTTCATCAGAACGTAAAAGATTTGTCCTCCAAAAGATACCATTAAAAAAGTAAGACAAGCCATGGACTTGGAGAAAAATGTGCAAATCATATATCTGATAAAAGACTATTATTCAGAATATACAGAATTTTCCTATAACTCAGTAAGATAAGCAACTCAAAAAATAGGCGAAAGATTTGCAATTCAAACTTAAATCTAGAAACACCTGTCACATTTTTAATAGTATTTTTTAATAACCTATCCTATCACAGAATTGAATTACCTTCACTTGCTAGGATAGAAATACCTGAAATAAATGAAATGCCTAAGAAGGTTGTTCCTAACAATGAAATTATTCTGATGCTCTACATACAGATAGCTCCCAACTTACAATGTCTGCTTTAGGATGGTGTGACAACAACACACATTTGGTAGAAAGGGTACTCTGCATTTTGAATTTTGGTCTTTTCCCAGGTTAGCAATAGGCCATTCACTCTCTCATGATGTGGGGCCGCAGCAGCAAGCCAAAGCCTCCAGTCAGCCCCACCATCACCAGGGTAAACAACCAATATGCTCTGTTCTGTACCCATACAACCACTCTGTTTTCCACTTTCAGTACAGTGTTCGATGAATGACACAAGATAGTCAATACTTTATTGTAAAACAGGCTTTGTGTTAAGACGATTCTGCCTACCTGTAGGCTAATACAAGTCTTCTGAGCACATTTAAAATAGGCTAGGTGTGTTCGTGCATTTTTGACTCAGGATATTTTCAGCTCACAACAGGTTTCCTGGGACTTAGCCCATCGTTAAGTCAAAGACCTGTATTTGGCAGGAAGCAGAATTCCTAAGAGAGCTCCCAGCTTGGGAAGCACACTAGGAACACTGATCTCAGGCCCCGGGCCACACTCACACCCAGACACCTGAGTGCTCGCAGAGCTGGGGGATCAGAGGCTGTCCTGCTCTCTTCACTTCAATGCCAGTGACTCTGACTTTAACGACCCTCGCTTCCATATCCCCTGTAGTCTCGTAAATAAACTGCTCTTATTTCAACACTGCTCCCTCCTTCTCTCCTCCTTAGGCCAGTCGGGCTCTCCTGCTTCATCTCCTGATCCTCAGTAACCCAGCAGCGAAGCAAACCACTCACAGCCTAATCACAAATTCCTGGGCCTCAACTTCCCTGCTCCTCTCCTTCAGCCGACCTGACTGACCCGCAGCCACACCACCAGGCCTTCCCGACCGTGCCCCACACTGGACATAGAACAGGTCCCAAAATTTTGAATTTCCTATTTAATAGGTACCCTCCATGAGGACATGTGACGGAAAAGACTAAAACAGGTTTAGAGCCAATGCCACCTTAGACACTAAGCACCAGGAATATAAAGCTGAAGGAAGTGGTCCCTGCCTTCAAGAAGCTAAGTCTATGAGTAGAGACAAACACGGACGGGGATACACACACACCATACACACACACACACTCTCTCTCTCTCTCTGAGGGGCAGTGTAACAGGCCCACCACCAGCACCTGTGAGACACACAGGTTGCCGAAGAAGGATAAACCTTGAGGTCTGAGGGGGAGGCAGTCTGACAGGTAAAGCTTCTAGGACAATACTGTGTCCCGGCTGAGCCCTGGAGGATGAAAATGATTAGGAGACAGCCAGCCCAACGGGGAGGGGACACCATGCAGTGTGGCTGGAGCGAAGGGCACAATGAGTGGAAGAGAAGAGACCAGAGAGAGCAAGTATGTCCAGAAAACCACAGACCAACAGCATCAGTTCCAGGGAACAGCCTACTGTCTCGAACTGTGAAATAAGCAGCAAGCCTCGTGAAGCCAAGTGGCTAAGAGACCTCAGGATAACCAGAAGCCAACGACGACTGACGAGAAGATGGAATTTCGACTTACTTGTTCAGGTTCGACGTGGCAGAACATCGAGATTTTCTCTTTCACTGACGTGTCGAGAGGATTTGAGCACCTGCACACAACCTGGCAGTAAACAAAGGAAGACATTCAGACAGAAGAAAGGGATTACGGAGCTGGGGTTTTTTCCTGACTGAAATGAAAATAGACATCACCCCGTGAAGCCGGATGAAAATGTTAACTCCAGCACAATGCAGGCCAACTATGAAAACAGGACCTGTTTTCAAAACTGAAATTCCTAAAATCCCACGCTGGAGAAACGTAAGAGGGTGGCGGTGCAGATGAACACGCAGATCACGTACTACAGGAACCAACTGGGGTTTTCCTCAGGTAAAGGCTTGGGTAGGAGGGAAGGGACAGCGAATGACGGACGCAGAGGGGAGACAAGGCACGACCTCATGCACGCCCGTGAGGCTCAAAGCACTAACCATTTCCCCAGCATCATCGAAAAGCATGCCAACAAAACAAAGGTCTTATCTGCCGGGGAGCAGACATACATACATACATTCATTCATTCATTCCCTTCCTTCCTTCCCTCCTTCCTCTGTTTTATCTTTTTCCTTCTTTCTTTTTCTTTTTTTTTAACTGAAGTATAGTTGACACACGATGTTACATGGGTTTCAGGAGCAAAACCCAGCGATCGGACTCTATACCCTATGCCATGCTCACTACGTGCGCAGCCGGGCCCTAGTCACTCCGTAACCGGAAGTCTGTGGCTCCCATTCCTCCCTCCCCCCATCCCCTCCCCTCTGCCAACTACCAGTCTGTTCTCTGTCTTTATCGGTCTGTTTCTGGTTTTTGTTTGTTTTGTTTTTTCGATTCCATATCAGTGAAGTCACATGGTACACAGAGAGATTTAATTAGGCATACAAGATCACGCTGGAACCCGGGAATCATAAAATCTTACCAGATCCGGAGAAAGCCCAAGCCCTCTGAGCTCCCGCACGCTATTCTGGGTGGGTTTGGTCTTCTGCTCCCCTGTTGAACTTGGCTATTTTACAAAAGGGAAAAAAAAGTTCATTTCTCTAGGATAAAGAATTTTCAGCATGAATTTTCTCTGAACCCCTTTTATTGATCAGTGTCTGCATTTTTGTCAAAGGCACGTGTACATGTATTTTAGAGTCAGTTCCACAAGGCCCGTCCTAACAACAGTGGTACTGGCGCCCACCGAGCCCCCACCCCTCCCCCTTCCCCAAACCCCAGGGGAGCCACTCTCCCACTCTTAAATGATCCTTCTGGTATGTTTCAGGCTACTTCTTGACATGTAGTTTGAGACATTTCCTATTGATTCCCCTGTTAGATAGAGGAGGAACCCTCTCTCTCTACTACATAGGCACCTGTCCCGTGCCTACAGCCCATCTCATGATATCTCTCCAGTGTTACGTGCGTTTGAGTATTTAAATCCTGCCCATCGTAAACCATGCACCATACTTTTCCTTTCTGTCCAAATTTGGTTCGTTTTTCTTGGTTGGTGTTTCTGTTTTGTTTTCTTGGCATGCTGTTTCCTAAGTACTAAATTATCTCTATTCTCTTCTCACACTTCCCAGATTTGCTGGGTACAGAATTCTAGGCTGGAAAGCATTTTTCCCTGAGCACTTGTAAGGAAATAGCTTCACTGTCTTCTAGCTTCTAGTATTGCTGCTTAGAAAGTGTAACGCCTTACTAATTCTTGGTTTTTCTCTTTACAGCCTTTTAGAATATCTGCCCCATGATTATGAAATTTCACAGTGATGTGCCTTGCTGTGGGTCATTTCCCATTCAGCATATGCTGGGCATTCGGTGGGTCCTTTCAATCTGGAAACTAACATCCTGAAATCTCCTTGAATTATTTAGATCAAAGGATCAGAAAACTTTTCCTGTAGGCCAGGTAATGAGTACTTTAGGTTTTATGGGCCATACAGTCTGTCACAAGGACTCGAACTCTGCTGTTTGAATACATAAGCCGCCATAGACAACACATAAACAGGTGGGCACGGCTGTATCTCCATACAACTTTATCTGCAAAAACGGGGTGGGCTGAGCTGGCCTTGTGGGCACAGTATGCTGCCCCCCTGGCTCTGATGACTCGTCCCTCTCTGTTTCTCTAGTATTTTCTGGAAATTCTAGCCCAGTCCTCTCCTTCTCTTACCCCTGCTCTCCCACTTCCTCTCTCTTGATCTTCCTGGGTACTTCCTGGGTTAGTTCCTCCACCTTCTTTCTCTCAAGTTTTCCCTTCCTGCTATCCCACTTTTAATTTCCAAGAACTCTTTTCTGTTCTCTGAATGCCCCTTCTTAGGGTATCCAATTTTTATTTCATGAATGCAGTTTATCTCACCTTTGACTCTCTGAGGACATTAATGACAGGTTGTTCTGGTTTCTAAGTTTCCGGCTTCCTCTGGAGCCGAAATTTTCTGTGAGTTCCCCTTTGTCCTGCTGTTTTGATTTCTTGCGCATCTAGGTGCTTTCTCCAAATGTCTGGTGATCACTGGCCACCAGCTGACATTTAAAAGCTAACTGGAAGTTCTGAGTGAGTGGGTGGGAGGACCCTGGGGTCCTCACTATTTCACTGGGGAGCCTCTGGGGGCAGAGTGTTTTCTCCTGGGCTAGTCAGAGACCCCATCGTGAACTTCATGTGGACAGTCCAAGCCCGGCTGTGATGATTCTGGGAACTGAATGGCAGAAGAAAGCAGGCTGTCCCAACAGCATTAAAGTGCGCTTACCCCCATGGTTTTACTTCAGTATTACCCCTCTTAACTATTGCTAGTATCTGCACATCTAGAATCCCTCTCCAGAGAAAAAGCTTCAGTCTTCTGCCAAGGTGGGAAAGGGACTAACGTCCAAGTGTGCACATTAGAGAAGGAGATGCTGGGTTCTAGCTGCTTCTCAAATAGCAGTTATCATGAGCTGCCCCCCAGCCCCCCAATGCACCCGGCGCTGCCCCTTCCTGAGCCTTTGGGGGTTGTGCAGGGCAAACAGGACTACTTCTCAGCCGGCCCTGCTACAGGCTCACGATTCTGCTCTCCCATGTCCGCTACTTCACTTTCTACGTGTTCCCATGTTTCGTTCCCACTGACTCCTTCATATTATCTTTGTGTTTCTCTTTAAAAGAAAAAAAAAATTCCCTTTACTCTAATTATAGCAGGGTTTCACCATGTAGTAGAGACAATGGACATTTTCAACCCATCATCTTCAAATGCAACTTCCCTGGCTAATCTTCTAAACGTTTTCCATCTGATCTTTTCAAAAAAGTATGATCACAATCATTTTAAATTCACAAAGAAGATCTTTATTCCCTGCACCTCACCTATCTAAAACAGGTAAGGGATGAAAGCCATCGTCTTCTCTTTCTTCTCCATCCCCCCAAAGTAAAACTCGAGTTCCTTACCTGAGGAACGAGACTGACGTGAATATTACAAAAGTTCTCTCTCTTGACCTTGAACTGGAACTGACGGAAGGCTTCAATAAAGGGCATGCTTTCTATATCTCCCACTGTTCCCCCGAGCTACAAGAACAAAGTTATTGTAGAGGTCAAGCACTAAAGGTTCCTCTCGTGCTTTGGTTTTCTAACAAATGCACCTCATCATCTCAGCCCGGTGATCAGAAACAGCGTAATGTGGACTCTCTGCAACCGGCTAAATCACTTGGCAGTAACTGACATTTCCTTATGCTGAAAGGTTACTTTTCTGAACAGGCTCTCCATACCCCAAGGTTATAGATCTGGCCAAGAAAAAGATCAGGTGAAAGATACACTAGAAATTTTATTTATACAAAGTCACGAAGCAAAGAAACCGAAATCTTATCTACTTAGTTAGCTGTAAATAACTTTTGTATGAAAAAGTATCCGTTATAAACAAACTGCTGGAATTTCTGAGTCCCTATTTCTGTAGGAACACAGATCCAACAGCTAGGACCAGCAGAACAGGTATAAAGAAACTGAAAGCATTGGGGCTCCTTCAGAGAGATGAACGTTCCTACCAGAGGAGACCTGAAGGTCAGCTGACGTTCTCAAGAGACAGAGGAAAACGTGTCCGACCGCCCTTCCTGGGACAGTCCACAGTGAGCAAATGTACACAGGCTGAAGAGGACAATCGCTTGCATGGAGGACTGCTTTCGATGGCGTGGCCACTCCCATGACTAGCACTGTGCCCAAACCTGCCCCACTGCGGTGAGGAGGGTCAAGGGCCTCATGGGGCACTGTCTTATCAGGTGCTGATGGTAGACTAAGGAGGTGAATGTGTACATTTGGTTAGAAAAGACTCATACAAACCTCAATGACACACACTTGAGGTTCCAGGCCATCTTCATCCACAGGTATTAAGGCCTGTCTCATGACCCACTCCTGGATTGCATCCGTGATGTGAGGGACAACTGGAAAAGAGAAAAGAAATACATACCTTACACTTTTCTGTCAGCACTGGTGGAGGCAGACACACTTTTTTTTTTTTTAAGATTTTATTTATTTATTTGACAGAGAGAGAGACAGTGAGAGAGGGAACACAAGCAGGGGGAGAGAAGCAGGCTCCCCGGACGCGGGACTTGATCCCAGGACCCTGGGATCAGGGCCTGGGCTGAAGGCAGACGCTTAATGACTGAGCCACCCAGGGGCCCCGGAGGCAGACACACTTAACGTGCGAGGCACACACCCTTACGTGCCGCAGTCTTGGCCTAGAGTAGTGATAGGGTCATAAAAATATTGTTGAGACCACTTTTTTTTTTAAGATGTGTTTACTTATTTGAGAGAGAGAGAGAGAGAGAGCAAGTGCACGAGCAGGGGGGAAGGAACAGAGGGAGAGGGAGAAGCAGACCCCCCGCTGAGCAGGGAGCCCAATGTGGGGCTCGATCCCAGGACCCTGAGATCATGACCAGAGCCGAAGGCAGATGATTTAACCGGCTGAGCCCCCCAGGCGCCCCTATTGAGACCACTCTTAAACGGCATTTAAAAATCTCTGGGCTCGCCTGGGTGGCTCAGTTGGTTAAGCGACTGCCTTCGGCTCAGGTCATGATCCTGGAGTCCCGGGATCAAGTCCCGCATCGGGCTCCCCGCTCAGCGGGGAGTCTGCTCCTCCCTCTGACTCCCCTCTCTCATTCTCTCTCAAATAAATAAATAAAATCTTAAAAAAAAAAAAAATCTCTGGGTTCACACTCCCTGCAGGTTTCCAAGTTGTGGCTGGACGCACAAGAGGGTAAGGCCAAGAGTGTGTCCGGAACCCACTCAGAGCCCTTATACCCTGTGCAGAGGCTACCCCGGCTGCACCCCCGCACCACTTATTGCTGAAGGCAGCCACTTCACACGGGGTGCTTTCCAGGCCCCTGTTCCAGGATGTTCCAGCTTACCAAAGGATAAACAGCCCCGGGGTAAGAGACAGTACCGGAGGGCAGGGTGGTCAGGAGCGCAGCCTCTGGGGCCAGAATGTCTGGATTCATACCTCAGTTCTGCCACTCATCAGGTCCCGATCCTTGAGTGAATCACTTAACTATTCTTAAGCTCAATTTCCCTACCCGCTCAGTGGAAATAACAGTTTCTACTTCAAAGTTGTGGGAATTTTATGCGACACCACTGGTAAAATGCTGAGCAGAGTGCCTCGCAGGCCGGTGCCCCTCGGTAAAGCCGGCTACCGCTCAACACTTGTTAAAATCCTCCTCGTAGGACTCAGGAGGCAAGCTCCTCAGGGGCAGGGATTACTGTTTAACTTCCTGCCTGTTTAACCAGCAGGGCCTCAGGCACAAGGCTATTCATTATCTATTCCACACTCAGCAGCCGACAGGATCTTTTTTAAAAATGCAAAACAGAGCTCCCCCCTCCCCTGTTTTAAACTCTTCAATGGCTTCCCAATGCTCTGAGTAAAATCCAAACTCTGCAGCCATGGCCCAGAAGGTCCTGTGTAACCTGGCTGCAGCCCCCCCCCCCACCTCCCTGACGGAGCGACCACAGCCTGAGCCCCTGTGCGGGCTCTGGCCCCCTCCTCCACAGGCCCCCGGCCAGCCTCTCAGTGCAAATGCCCCCTCGTGGAGACTCCCCCTAACCACCTGTCCAAACAGGCTGTCTCCACGCACTCTCTCTTCTCACTATTTACTGCCTTCACAGCTCTCATCAGACATCTTGTTTCATCAGTTTGTTTTCGTGTCTCCCACACGCTGGCCTCCATGGGGGCGACGGTCTCGCTGGTCTTGTTCACCACGTAGCCCCAGTGCCAGGGAGGGTGTGACCACAGTTGAGTATTCAAGAAATATGTGACGAATGAATGCATACACGAATGAATACACTGGAGGCCTAGAACAACAAACTGATCGAGATCATCCTAATTCCTAATTGATCCCCCTTCTATGTGTCAGGAACTCAGAGAGACTTTCTTGCCCTCCCAACAATCAGGAAGGGCAGGTATTATCTCGGTTTGACAGAAAAGGGAACCAGATCCCAAAGAGGTTCAGCAATCTGCCTGTGTTCACAAAGCTGGTAAGTGGCAGGGCTACAATCTAAACACGACCCCGTGCACTCCGAATCGGACCAGGGAGGCCCCAGACTAAAGCTGGCTATCAGTGTGACCCTCGGCTTTCAGTTCAGCGATGTCTGAAGCCAAGAGATTCACTCTCATAACTCAGAGACAAGACACTTTTCAGCACCCCACCCTCCCAATTTGGACTTCCGCCATTACACTAGACCAGTGGTTTTCCAACCCCACCTTTCAAGAGTGGCAATTTTCCCAAATGAACGTGGTGGAGAACCCCAGGGCAACAGACAGACACAAGTGAAGCTGGCTGGCTCTGAGGGTGCAGGAGGACTGGAGCCCCGCCTCTCCGACTCCCCCAGGCCCACATGCGCCCATGCCTGCAGACCACTATGCACAAAGAACGTTCTCTTCCTACCACTGTTGAAATCAGCCCCAGATGCATGACATATACACACCATCGGGCTTGCTGCCCTGACCTAGCTGCCTTCAACAACATACGCCTCACGCATAAAAACAGCAGCCCTCTGGACTCACATCCTTCCAGGGGCTCACAGCTCCAGTGCCATTCACAGAGCGGCAGGGGGTTTCCTCACGTGATTTGAGTAAACAGCCATACAGCTCTGAATTTTCAACCAAAGGCATATGTCAGTAACAATACCTTGACACTTTCAGGCTGAAATTGCATAGAAAGTAAATTTCTGCACACAAGAGAAAGCAAACCGGTTAAGATTTTTTACACCTTGAAGGCAAATCCAGTTTTACCTTGGACGGTTTTCCCCAAGTAATCTCCTTTGCGTTCCTTGTTAATGACATACTGGTAGATCTTTCCAGTGGTCAGATTATTGTCCTTGGTGAGGCGGATGTCAAGGAAGCGCTCATAGTTCCCCAGGTCAAGGTCGACTTCCCCACCATCATCCAGCACAAAAACCTCACCTGTGATGAACAGCACACATGGTCAGGGTAAGTGAAAAACACACGTCAGGGTAAACGTGAGTCTCAAAATGTAAACACGCGGATAGAAACGTCTGCATTACCTTGATGTGAAGCAGACAAATTTATTTCTAGAAAACTAAATATGACACAAAAGAAAGAAAAATCACCAACCATTCTCCAAAAGGTAATAGCATACTTCCAGTCTACCAACAAGCTCCGTCTGAATCAGGAAGTAACGAGAGACCATGGGGCGGAAGGAAAACATAGCCTCCAGGGCCACGGATATAGGGAGCTTTACAGGAGTGTGGGGTCTGCTGCCCAAAGAGAAAGAACTTTCAATAAAGCCTCCTACTTGAGCAGAAAAAGGTTTCAGACAGGATAAAAAGCATGATTTCCTTCAGAACTCACACCGGATATTAAGGTCCTGTTGATTAGAAAAAACCAACGTCTGGCCTACACTTTAGTCCCAAACAAAGTTGTGAAACTCAAAGTTTCCCCCATTCCTTTGTTTAGTGTTCATTCCTTGAAACGTCGTTCTAGAAGTTTTGCCCACGATGGTTCATTCTTACCATCACAATAGGAGACGAGCTCAAAAATGGGAAAGGAAGAAAGGTCTTCTTTTCCCCCTCAGAGGTTTCTATTACAGAAACCTCTAGACTCTGATCGCTACATTGCCCGTTTAGATTTCTGCTTCCTCTCTGTCTAGGTGAGAAAAGCAAATTCTGCTACACCAAGGACCTTTTTGGAAGGCAGAAAATGCAAGTTACGTTATGCAAAATACACACAATTTCCAAGGGCTGACCCTGTTCTTCCACCTACTCCACAATTATTATTTTAATAAAAGAAAGAAATGCATTGTGCTTACCATGTTCATAGGGAGAGAATGTTCCTGCATCAATGTTAATGTATGGGTCAATCTTAATTGAAGTTACGTGTAAACCGCATGACTTCAGTATTGTGCCCACGCTGCTGGCAATGATTCCTTTTCCGATTCCTGATATAACACCACCAGTAACTAGAATGTACTTCATTTTACTTTTTGACCTGGGAGTGGGAGAAGGAAAAATTACAAGCAAGCCAGATCTCCACAAAGCACACACATCTCAGTTCAAAGGCTAGCTCTGCATCCTCCAGGAGCCTGTTTCCCTCTCCGCCACACGACTCCAGAAGGTTGTTCTGTGGGACCCTAACAAATACTCCTTGGGATCACTGAATGGCTTTAGTCAAACAGGAGTTGAAAAACAACCTGCTAGTCTAATAATGCAGCGTTTGTTTAAAGCTTTGACAACTAACAACCTTGAGAGACAACCTAATAAAAAATAAAATGTAAAAATTTAAAAACAACCCTGTTGATAAAAACGTTATGCCCCAAATGCTGGTTGACATAACCACCAGACCCTGGGGTACGGAAGCAGGCACCTCATTATTTACCCTGCACGGGAAGAAAAAAAGATTTCAACCTTGGATGGAGCACTCCGATTGCCCACGAAAAGACAGAACGTCTCTGGCTAACCTACAATGTATCATCAAGAAAACACAGCTTCTCCAGGTTTTGGAAGACAGAATAAAAGAACTTCAACATTTAACAGGAGTTGCAACGAAGCCTAAAAATCCTTTAATTAGAGGTCGTCGTCTCCTGTTAACAACTTACTCCTTGTCAGCAATGTCACCCAGGTGTGCCATGAGGAGAAACTGTATATACTGGAGGAAAAGAACTTCAGATACCAAACCAGCCTGAAGCACATAATGGGCAGAGGACTCAAAGAGAGTACAGATTCGATTAAATCCAACAAGCCGCGCAGCTGTGTCCGGGGAGGAGGAAACAGATGTGGTGAGAGAGAAAGGCATGGATGGAGGCAGGAGTGACAGAGCACGACGTGGGGCGACCGCAACAGGCTTGCCAGGGAGAATTCATCACTTGGCCCCTAGCTTCAGAGGCCCAGACACATCACTTGGTCGGTAAATCCAAATGTGACCAAACTGAGAAACACAATCTCCAAGTAGAAGAGAATGCTTGCTTTGGCATGGTCAGGACATTTTCCTCCTCCGGGAACACTTCATGTGAAGCCAAATTATAATAAAAATAAGCTAAGAAAGGAACAAGGAAACTGGGGAGTTCAGCTTCAAGCATTCCCCCGCCCCACTCCTCCCCAAGGCAGGAATGAATACACTTGGCAAAGAATGCTCAAAAGGACTTCTTCCCCCTTGGATAGCAAGAAAGACACCCAGACCATGACTTGCTCTTTCTATCCTGTTACAGCATGTCCAAAAGCGTGCTCCCTGGTTTCTGCAAAATGTATATGGGGTTCCCATAAAGCCTTTTACAGACATATAAATCAGAGAAATGCTGTTAAACAGTCAGTTGGTTTAATGCCAGACCTCCAGTAGCCTTTAATAAGTTAACGCACACTGAGCGCTCCCCAAATGGGTATACAGTATACAGTTTTCCCAAACTAATTTGACCCCAACTCCCTAATATTCGAGGGGGGGGGAATACTACTTTTGTCACCTCACAGTCAAATGGCTCCTTAGTGACACATGAATATTAGACGTGGCTACATTTTAGATGTGTTCTAATCAGGTATATCCCTGACACTATAACCGGTCTCAGACTCAATTTTAGATGTTCCTAGAAAGTCCGAGTGGGTTATGGAGCAGGTTACTTTTCCAGAAGACTCATCTCATCCATTTGCATTTGATTTGCCCCAATTTTACTTAAGAGGGTAACAGCTCTCTTGAGGGGAGATTCCTGCAGTCTCCCCCAGTGCCTGGCAGTAAAGATTCCACTGTGCTCAAAGACCAGGTGGGAGAGGCTGACAGGACACACTCACTCACACTGATGAGTGACCGACCCCCCCCCCATGTAGGTGCTACTATGCTACACACTTTGGGGACCACAAAATTTTTTTCTTTTTTTTTTTTTTACTTTTATTTGCATTTATTTTATGCAGAATTTACTACCAGGCTGTAAGTTTTTGTTTTTTCTGGGATCTTTTTCTTCTGTGCAATCTCCTCTTCTGGATTAAGGACAATCTGCTCTTTCTCAGGAAGGACCGACTCAATGTGGCAGGGTGAGTTCATGTATGTGTTAATCCAACCATAAGCCCTGTTACACCACATCCTGGGGCTTCTGTTCACCTTGATGTGCTCAATGACGACACTGAGGGGGGACACTACTCTGTCACCTCTAAACCCTTAAGTTCAGCATTACTGTCTGCATTTTTAAGCATGTGCAGTAAAAATTCAGCACTCTTTTTGGGCCAGTGACCCGGTGTGCAGCCCCACCGTTTGACCTGGGCACAGCTACCAACTCCACAATTGTAGCAACAGAATGGCACACGTCACATCTGCAAAGTGACATCCTTCAGATACTTGGTGGCTTTTTGGATATGCATACCCTTGGTGGCCTGAGCGGTTTCACGTATGTTAAGGTAAACACAAAGATTTGAACCTCCTGATTTGCATGATTTTCTGGGTCAAGTGAATAGCGAACCATTTTCAGAGATCACCTCAGGCTGCTTATGGGAAGAGCAGAGACCACAAAACTTAATCAGATCTGGGCTCATAACTCAAGCTGCTGGCAGTCCAGTTAGAGAAAAAAAACATTTACAAATAAATGAGTAATCCAGTGATGGTGGGAAACAGGGACAACATATGAAAGGCATACTTGGAGAAGAGAGAGCTGAAAGCTTTCAGTGCCAAGACCAAGGTATAGATCATGGCCCAGCAGAAGAAGGTGTGAGAAATTGAGGTAGGGAGAGGATCCAGAATGCTCCTGCTTTGTTGACCAGAGACTTGCAGTGGACTCACTATAAGACATAAAGCATGGGGAAGGGAACAGAGTGAACAGGAAGGTGAAGGCCATCTATAGAAAACAGAGGTAGGGCCAAGAAAAGAGACAGGGAGACATGGGGGGAAGACAGTGGGAAAGAAGTTGGAAATATAAGCAAGGGACCAAATTATGGGGAAACTTGAGTGTCCTATCTGAACTTTATTCTGAAGGCGATGGACACATCAGAAGGTTTTTGAGCACAGAACATAAATTAAGATGCATCACACGCCCCTGGCCAGCTACGTAAGTAGAGCAAGCAACTCTTGATGTCAAGGTTGTGAGTTCCAGCCCCACCTTGGATATAGAGATTACTTAAAAATACAATCTTTATAAAACAACAAAAAAAAGAATTCTAAAAAAAAAAACAAAACAAAAAAGAAGGTGCCCAGCAGGCTCAGTTGGTGTAGGATGTGACTCTTGATCTGGGGGTTGTTGAGGTGAAGCCCCACGCTGGGTGTAGAGATTACTTAAAAATAAAAAAATCTTAAAAAAAAAAAATGCATCAGAAGAATTCAACAAAGATGGAAAGGAAAAAAAGCTTTTTTGTTGGTAAAAAATGTTTTGAGAACCACCTCCAGCCTACCACTTGTGTACTGAGACCTGTCAGGTCACTCAAGCTGCCCGAAGCCCGGGTCCTTACATGTGTAAAATGGGGTGAGAAGCTCCCGCATCGCCTCAACCAGGACTGTTGAGGACTGGACAGTATAATGAGTGTGGACCTAAGTGTGCCACGCAAACGTAGTGAACTTCTTTAAAAACGCAGCATGCTCACTCCGGGCGGCCCGGAGGGGAGCGAGCCGGCTGTGCGGCCGGAGGGGCCGCACCCGGAGCCCGGCGGGCGGGCGAGCCGCAAGGCCCCTTCCGCCCACGGGAGTCGGGGCGCGCCGGAGGGGCCGTGGCCAGGCCGCCGAATCCATCCCCCACGCGGCGGCGCGTCTCGGACCTTGAACCGCCTGCCAGCCAGGCTGAGGCCGTGTGCCAGGCCCGGAGGGGCGAGGGCCGGGGTAGTCCCCACCGAGCGGCGGCCGCCCGGGCTGCTCCGGGAGGTCTGAGCAGAGGGGCTCCCGCGCCTCTACGGCCCTCCCGGTCCCACGCGTCATCCCCGGCCCCCGGGTCAGCCGAGCCAGGCCGCGCTGAAATGGGCACTGCCGGCCCCCACGGCCCCGGCCCCGCGGCCTTTCCCGCCGCCCCGCGCCCGTTGCGGCCCGGCTTCCTAGCGGCGCCCGGCCACGCGGCCCCGCGCGCGGGAGCCGGCTCCTCGCCGGCCTGGCCGCCCGCCCGCCCCACTCCCGCTAGGCATGCAGCCCATTGGTCAGGCCTGCGAGCCACCTCACCCTGATTGGTGGAAACGGTGTCTGTCAACCGGCGGTGTGGCTGTCCCGCGCCGGGCTCAGCTCGCGCCGCCGATTCCTGCACGGGAGAACAGTTCCCCCGTGATCCCTGGAGTCACCCTACCTGAGGCCGGCCTACAGGCCTGCCGTCAGTTAAGGAGCTGGGGCTACGACGCGCGCGCTGGGCCCCGGGCCGCCAGTGAACCAGCGCGGCCGCATGCGCCCGGCAGTCTTTCACGGAGGCGGGCTCCGGGCGGTGCGCACGCAGAGGCGGGGGGCGGAGCGGGCGCGCGGGCCCTCCCCGGGGCGGGGTCTGGGTGCGCGGGGCACAGGGCCCCGAGTGCGCAGGCGTGGGGGGGACGCGTCTTCTCGTCTTGGTGGGCGGCTGTGCGGGCTTGTCCCCGCGCAGCTGACGCCTTGGACGCGCTGTAGTTCGAGACCAGGCTGGTTGTGGCCTTTCTGCCTCGCCGCCTTTGTCCGCAGTCGGTAGTCCAGGCTTCCTCTCTTGCAGAAGAGGCCGTTTTTGGACTCACACCTGGCAAATATGTTGTCTGGCTCCAGCAGCCTTCTAGAGGAGGCTAGATCCATCACACCATGTCTTTGAACCGTCCGACCTTGTGAGCACCACGTTCACGGCTACTGGTGGTGCGACCCCAGGCCATCTCTCCCGCCACGCCCTCTGAACCGAGGGACAGCGGTAGTGTCACCCCCGGCTGGTCTCTAAATGGGAAAGCCTAGAAGGATAGCTGGGCGCCGACTCCTTCCACCTCTGGCTTCCTTGCCCCTCATCTGCCCTGAGGGCGGCTGCTTTGGATGGAGAAGGCGCCAGAGACAGAGTTTCGTCCAGCTAACACTCATTGAGCACCCCCTGTGTGCCACATGCTGTGCTGGGCTCCAGAGGACCCTGTCCTGGTGTAGTGGGGCGTAGTGGGGCAAAGTGATCAGCTAATTGCACTTCATCGTGATTCTCATAAATTTTTGCTGCTGGAGTATCCAGTGTGGGAACTGACCAAGTCTGGTGTAGGTCGGGGTTGCAGGCAAGAAAGTCTCTCCTGGAAAAGTAGGTTAAAGCTGACAACTGAAATTTACCGGCAAAGAAAGGGAAGGGAGATGTTGGGAGTAAGAATGAGTGAGGCAGAAAGGAAAGCCTGTGTAAAGGCTCTGAGGCCTAGAAGCGTCTAGCACAGCTGAATGGGAAGGCCAGCGTAGCAGTGTTGGGAAAACCCAAAGGAAGAAAGATTATGAGATCAGGATGGAGAGGTGGGCATGGCCATACCGTGCAGAGCATTATAGACTTAGTGGAGGATTTTCTTTCTCCTACAGGCAGTGGAAAGCCATAGAAATTTTTTTGAGGAGGGGATTTTGTTTTTCTTTCGAATAGTGAATACATGCATATGGTTAAATTTTTTTTCCTCCAAACACTACACAGGATACACTTGAAAAATTTCTCACCTCTGTACCCCAATGTTCCTGTTTTCTTCCCTAGAAGCAATTTGTCACAAGCTCTTGTAGTCTTCATTGAAAGATTTAAAGGGAAGCTGTGACATGATCAAGTTTGTTTTTCAGGGAAATGACTCAAACAAATGGTTTCCAGGAAACCAGTTAGGAGACTTCTTCAGTGGCCCAAAGAGAGCTTCTGGCTTCCAAATCTGGATCACCACTGCTCCTACCCTGCCAAGCTACCCAAGCTGCACTCAGCTCCAAATCTAAAACATGCCTGGGATGTATTTGAAGATGTGCTATGGCCACACATTCTTTCAAGAAGCATTTGGTGTTTATCTTAGCGCTGGGACATGATAGACACTGAGAACATACTTGCTGAAGTAATAGAGATGTTGTAGGAGACACAAGAATGAGCCATTCAGTATTCTGGATGATCACTTTACCCTTTCCTCTCTTTCTTCGAACCTCTGCCTTCTCCTCCCCCATACTCTTTCTCAGCAGTGGTCTTGCTTCCTATTTCACTGAGAAAATAGAAGCCATCGGAAGAACTTCCTTGAGCTCCCAGTGTGGCATCCATCGGCCTGTTTCTATCTCCGCACACAAGCTCTGCCTTCTCCCCCTGTCCTGTGAACAAACCATCCTCATTGTTTCAAACGCCATATCTTCTCATCAACTCAAGAATGTCACTCTGGTAATTCTCCCCTCGTGCATCAGCAGTTCTCCCCTCTCTACCAGATCATTTCTTGATCTCTCTTGACTGTACATGATTCTCTGGCTACCCCTCATTTCTCTGTGTCCTTTTCAACACAGCTCCTAGAAAGTGCTGTTTGCACTTGTCTCCAATTCCCTCCCTGTCTCTGGAACTCATTCTGATCAGGCTATTGCTCACGTAATTCCACGGAACCTGTGCTTGTCGAAAATTAACCTCTGTGTTCCCAGACCTCTGTCTCCCAGCCTAGTCTCACAGGTCCCGGATAAAGATGCCAGTGCGGCCATACATGCGTGGTGGGAGTGCGTGTGTGCATATTTGCATTGTTTGCACCGCCCCTCTCCCCAACCCTGAGCTCACAGACTCCCTGTGGGCTTGTGGGGGCAGCCATGCTGTCCCCAGGTCCTGCTCCTAAACTGACTACAGCATTTTCCTAACAGCATTTGTCACAGCTAGTCACTCCCTCCTTAAAGCGTGTTCTTTCCCGGGATTCTAGGAAACCATTTTCTGTTTTTCTCCTCTTTCCCCGGCCTCTCCTTCTGGGTGCCCTTTTCTGGAGCCATTCCTGTCCGTGACCTGTAAACATTGGTATGCCCCAGGGCTCAAAAGATCCCTTCTGCATCTATAATCATTCTTTACATGATCTCATCCAGACTTTAAGTACCATCTATATTCTGACGACTCCCAAATTGATATTTCCAGCCCGGACCTGTCTCCTGAACTCCAGGTTTGGGGCTCTTCTAAGCATGAAAGTCCCGGCAGGAACAAACAGGCACCTTGTCTCCAGGTGGGACAATTCTGCAATGCTGGGCCTGCTCTGGAGCTCCACACACACCCCCCCCCACCTCCCCACCCCCGTCCCCAGATCAGGCCGAGGCCTACCCTAGGGGGCAGCAAACTTTTCTGAAAAGGGCCTGATAGTATTTTAGGCTTTGGGGGCCATAGGGTCACAGCTCCTTAATTCTGTCTTCATAGCACAAAAAGTGTAATACCTGAACAAAATATGTGTCACAGAAATAGAAATACGGATTTGATCGGAAGGCCAACCCCTGAACTAAACACACCTCTTCTCTGGTCTAGCTCCTTCCCTGCCCTATGCTGCTTCCCCCTTTCAGGTTTCACTGGAGAGCATTACTCAGTTATTCACTTACACAAGAACCCCATCTCTGTCCTTGTTCCTAGGGAACGTGACCCAGGACTGTGCCTCTCCTACTCGCCCCTCCCGTGGTGCGCTCCCGGCCTTCCCTAAGACATTTATCACAGGGTGCTGAAATCGCAGGCCTGATTGTGTGTCTCCTCCCCACCCGATCGTAATCTCTTTGAGATTACTTCACGTTTCTATGTCTCAGATCCCTTATCGGTATAATTCTCCCTCACCTTTTAATAACTTTAATTCCCACTACCACCCTGTGATGTGAATGCCATGCTTATTACTACTATATTCCATATGATGAAGACGGGAGTGAAAAGTAAGAATGCCCTCCTGAGAGCGCATGTGAAGTTTCACTTTGAATCCTTTCTGTTCTGCCCCCACCAGATCTTGCTAACTGTTTCCTCACTGAGGCTCCTTTGAGTGGCCTTCTCCACTTTCGCATCACTATGCGGTCCCCCTGGCCAGGTATGCTAATAGATTATCTGGGTGAGCCATGGAGCAGGAAGGAGCCCACAACTACTGATTTAAATTTGTATGTTTTGCCCAGATGGGGGCTACTTATACTAAAATTAAAATTTTTTTTTAGTTTTTAACAAATATGTAAATGGTACAAAATTCAGAAGGTAAAAGGGAATACACAGGGGCGCCTGGGTGGCTCAGTCGGTTAAGCATCTGCCTTCAGCTCAAGTCATGATCCCAGGGTCCTGGGATCGAGCCCCATGTTGGGCTCCCTGCTGTGGGGAGCCTGCTTCTCCCTCTCCCTCTGCCCCTCCCCCTGCTTGTGCTGTCTTGCTCTCTCTCTATCAAATAAATAAATAAAATCTTTAAAAAAAAAAAAAAGGAATACACAGTAAAAACTTCCCTCACGTATCTATTCCCCAGCCACCTAGTTTTCCTCCCAGAAGCAACCAGTATTACCAGTTTCCTGTTTGTCTTTCAAGAGATATTCTGTGCACAGTCTGTATCCTCTCTTATTGACTATATATTATTTTAGTATGAATGTGTTATACTGGATTTGCCTCACTTGAGCCAGCTTTCTTTAGTGAATTAGTTGGTTACCCTCACTTGGACATGAGAGGATTTAAAGCTGTGTGTGTGTGTGTGTGTGTGTGTGTAAAATATGAGAGAAAAAATGAGGCAAAGAGAAAATTAGGGTAGGAACTTTTTCTCCTCAATGACACTCCACTGCCTTCAGGATAAAGTCAAAACCACAATTTGATTTAATGAGGCTATGCACAAACTGGCCTCAGTTTACTCTTCTAGCCACACGACCCACCCCATGCTCTAGCCACACTGGACTCTTCCAGTTGCCTAAACATGCCATTTGTTCTCTTTCCCACATCTGGATCTTTGCACAGACCTGTGTTGGAAAACCCCCTTCCCTTTGTCTTCCTAATGTCACATTTCAGCTTGGCCTTCACTTGCCCCAAGTAACTTTCCTGGACAGCCTTCCAGGGGCTAGCACCTCTCCTCCATTCTTCTATTGCTGCCTGGACTTCTCCCAAGCACAGCACTCACAAGTTGTGTTTTGACGGCTCACTTCCTTGTCCGGATCTCCCCCTTATCTCTAAGCTCGTGAGGTGTGGGACCTGTTTATCTGATTTACCGATGTGTGCTCAGTGCCTAGCCTGTCCCGGCACATAGTGCACGTTTGGAAAATACTTTTCCCCTGCAAATAAATAAATCTAGAAATTCAATTAGATCCCTAATCCTATAAGCTTTCTAGAGGTTAGTCACAAATTTTAACTTCCCAGCAGCCAAAGTGAGAAGGGTCAATATGATTCACAGAAAACCATACAATAGTTGCTCAGGAGAAATATCACTTCCTCAAATAACCTTTCACTGACCCCCTAAAGCCCCTTATTGGCACCCCTAAGTGCCCGCGCGCACACACACACACACACACACACACACACACTATTTTTCCTTGGTCGCATTTATCAAAACTATAACAATTGA